GACCTGTTGAATCCCGAGTGACAGGATCCTGTGATGAAAAATGGAGAAAAAACGGAGGAAGAAATCAGCCTGATGATTAGGTTTCATCCGGAAAGACTATGCAGACAAGACTTTTGCTTGGCTGGGACAAAACTTTAGCGCTGTCAACGTAAAGAGCACTTAAAAAGAGCAGCTTTCCGTGAAACCCAGAGACTGAGGGAGAGAAAGAGAAAGAACTACTGGTTCATGGAGAATCACTGGGTGAATTGAATCCATGGCAATCTGGAAATGAAACCTTCTCCTTTCCTGAACATGCGGCTTGCAAACACCTGGTTGTTTCTCACTGCAATCTTACTCTGTGGCAAACAGCACCTGGGCACCAGGCTGGGGAATTCCTCCTCTCACGACAGTCATTTGTGCCCCGACTGCTCTCATCTGACCCTGAAGGTGGAATTCTCCTCAACCGTCGTAAAACACGGTAAGGAGTTCTTTGCAGCAGGTTGGAAAATGCAAATATAAATATAAATACATACATATTTGGGCCGACAGGGTGTTCAAAAAGCATTCATCCTCTTCCCCTGTCTCTTGTAGCTAACAAAGTGAGAAAGAGCCTGTGGCCTAGGGGCTAACACTTCTGCTTAACATGCAGACAGCCCAGGTTCGAATCTCAGAAGGGTATGTCTGGCTGATGAAAACCAAATAAGGTCTGAAATAGCTATCCCAGTACTCCCTTAATTCTTTGTTAGCAATCCAAATTTTGAAAAAAACATACATATTTATATAAATATAAATACGCGTAGTAGAGAAACTTTATCATGGCAGCGAAAGGCTGAGTAATTTATTTGCAGCATATTTTTATTATTGTAGGATTCTTGTCCTCAGGAGGGCAAATAACATAACTGGCCTTGCAGACTCTGACCTTGGCTACGTCTAGCTCATTATTAACTACTTTGTCGCAGTCGGCAAAGTACACCTTCTGTGTGGTGTATGAAATCTGTTTCGCGCTAAGCCGGAGATGAGTCATGGACTGCAGCCGTTAACTTCCCAGCTTTCTAATCTTGGGGAATATTGGATCCCGGCTGAGCATCTGCCGTAACATGATACGGTTACGGATGTGTTGGGGCTTGCCGTGTCAGGACTCATCAGTCTGTGTGAACAGCAAGTGCATCGAGGTGATCCTGCATCAACACGTTTACATAGTCAGATTTAATAACCTGTAATAATTAATGAGGGAGGCGGTTTGGTATAGCGGTTACGGCACCAGGCTAGAAATAGGGAGGCAAAGAGTTCTAGTCCTACGTTAGGCGCAAAGCTGCTGGGTGACCTTGGGCCAGTCATTCTCTCTTGGCCCTTAGAAGCAAGCAATGGCAAACTTCCTGTGAAATCAGCCTGGGTGCTGGAGCAGGTACTCCGGAGCGCGGCTGGGACAGGCTGTGTGGAATGGAGGCAGGCCTAAAAGTGGCTGGAGTGACTTCTGACTTCCAGCTGGTTTCCCCATTGTTTGTGCTTGTGGGATCTGCCACTTCCCTCCGTGTCTCCTTCGAGGAGTTGATTTGGTGGCCTTTCCCGAACTTGTTCCAGTAAAAGGCTTTAGACCCCTACCCAGTTTTAAAGTTTCCGTTGCCTTTTCTAATATGTGATAAACTGTCCCTTTGCAGAATACATCGTGGCGTTCAATGGCTACTTCTCAGCCCAAGCAAGAAGCAAATTCATTTCGAGAGCACTCAAGAACAGCGACATAGAAAGCTGGAGGATTGTGCCCCGCAACAACCCAGCCAGCGATTACCCCAGTGACTTTGAAGTGATCCAGATTGACGAGAATCAGACGGTTGGAGTGCAGACGCTCGAAGACCATCCCAACATCAAACGGGTTACGCCACAGAGGAAAGTCTTTCGCTCGCTAAAGTACACCGAGAGTAAGCATGCTCGGCATTTCAGTGAATTAATTGCTCCTGGGAAGAATTGGCCAGTCCTCATTCGCTTCCTCTGGAATTTTGCCGTTTCCAAAATCAAGTTTGCTTTTTAAAACCACATTTTAAAAATGAGTTTCCTTTGAAAAACGAAATTCAGTATAGAGAAAAGTAAGGTTTTACAGTTAGGCAAGAAAAATGAAATGCACAGTTCAACAATAATAATTGCAAGAGGGATCTAGGAGTCCTAGTGGACCACCAATTAAGTATGAGCCAGCAATGTGCTGCAGCTGCCAAAAAAAGGTCTGTTTTCTTGCAGATGTTTCATTACCCAACTAGGTAACATCATCAGTGCTAGAAGGAAATGGGGTTTCCAGAGAGGAGGAGGAGGAGGAGGAGAGGAATGACTGATTTCACCATCCTCACTGCCAACAGCCTCCAAAGCAATCTCTTGACTGGAGTGAAATACTGTTTCCTCTCTTCTTTCCCAGAATATCCCTGCAGCCTATAGTGCCCAATCTCTGCATTTGCTGAAAAAAAATTGCAGTTTCTTTTCCGTATCAGTTGAGGAGTCCACAAAGTCTTATTTTTATTCCTCTTTCAGTTTGGCCCACTTGCTTTGGCCTTGTGAGAGATTATGCTCTAATATGCAATAGTTAGTTCACCTTGAACTTCACTTTGAAGCTACTGAGAATGTTATCAGGACAGAGAACCTGCCCATTCAACCTTACAAGGGTGGAGTCAAGGCATGTCCAAGATAATCACCGACTACATGTTTTCGCCCAACTGCCAAGGCTGAAAATGCCCCTAGGGCAATTTAGATACGATTAATAGATTATCGCCAGAGATACGCAGTTTTTATGAATTTGTTTACAAAAATCAGCATTATGCTTTATGTCTAGGTAATCCTTGACTCACAAGCACAACTGGGACTAGAATTTCAGAATTTAAGGGCATTGTGGCCATTAAACGAATCATCACATTGACTGGACCCGATTTTACTACAATTTTTATTGGGGTTTAAGCAAATCCCTAAGTGGTCTTTGAGCCAACACGACTTAAACTTGTGAAACTTTCCCAAAAGCTTGGGGGGCCTCTGCTCTAATTGGTCAAGTGACATGTCTGTACTTCTCAAACCCCCAGCAGATTCCGCCGCTCCCTGTAATGAGACCCGATGGATGCAGAAGTGGCAGTCATCCCGCCCCCTCCGAAGGGCGAGCCTGTCTTTGGGCTCCGGCTTTTGGCACGCGACGGGCAGACACTCCAGCAGGCGCTTGCTGAGAGCCATCCCTCGGCAGGTGGCACAGACCCTTCAGGCAGACGTGCTCTGGCAAATGGGCTTTACAGGTAGGCCTGTTGGTAGGTGCCATGTGCATTCTCCATAGTTACAAAAGGGCATAAGAACAGCAGGGCTAACTTTTGGTGAGGAAGGTTAGAGTTTTCTTTTTTAGTAGAAAAGAAAAGATGAAACATCCTTCACATTGGAAGAATTCTCACTGCGGGTTTATTTTATTTTTTAAAACAAAAACCACTTTATGTAGCATTCATGTGGAGGGGCGCAAGGGCTCAGCGTTAAAGATGCTGAGCTTGTCAGCTGGAAAGCTGGCAGCCCGGGTTTGAGACCTGAGCACCGCACGACGGGGTAAGCTCCCGTTGCTTGCCTCGGCTCCTGCCCATCTAGCCGTTCAAAAGCAGGCAAAGGCGAGTAGAGAAATAGGTGCCACTTTGGTGGGAAGGTAACAGTGTTCCATATGCCTTGGTGTAGTCATGCTGACCACATTTATTTATTTATTTATTTATTTTTTGGATTTATATCCCGCCCTTCTCCCGTAGGACTCAGGGCGGCTGACAATCTATTTAAAATACATACAAAACAATACAAATTTAAAATTAATTAAAAGGAATATTTAAATATTTGTCGAATTTTAAAATATAATTAAAACCCCCCTAAAAATTACCCTAGGCCAGTCCTGCA